GCCTTCATCATCTTCCAGCCAGTATAAGACCAGCTGATTTTTTTGCACTAAAGATTCACGGATATGATAGACTTGAGAAGACCAAATTATATTTCCAGCACGTCTTCTTCCATCTTTTAACTCACCTGGTTTAAGTAAATATCTTACAAGAATATCATAAGTTAATCGCTTCTCATCAAACCTATAGGCCCATTTTGAGGCTTAGAAGATTTAGCATAAACATGCTTCAATTTTCGTGTATTAGCAGGAGAAATACCTAGAAGACGAGTTATAGAATTATCAAGATTCTCAAGAAAAATTGGAAGGTTTCTAACCCAAGTTCGACAATGTTCTGATATAGGTAATCTTATATCAACAACATCTTGAATAATAGATGACTATTCTTGTAATGTCTTATTAAACCTTTTAACAATGCCTATACTTTCTTTAAAATTAGCTATTCAAATATTAACACCATATTTATTCATTAATCTAATAACATCACCCTGAAATTCAACACCTCTATCCACCATAAGATATTTTTTAGGCCAAGTAAGCGGACATTTTGAAAATTAAAAAGTTTCTCAAAGCCTATAGTAACACTAACGGAATTACGTTTAGTTAAAGGATAGGTCTATTTTATACTAGTAGCAATATTTACACAATTAAGTGCAAATTTATAAATTTTATTTCCAATTTAATTATAAGACATATAGCATAAGTCAGCTTTAATAACCTCTATGGTATAGTAACATTAATGAAAGATACACTTGGAATATTTCTAGGATGAGGTTTATGTATCTGGTGTACAGCCTGTCTTTCAAGCCAATCCTTCACCTCTTCTAGAGTAAAATTGAACCCAGCTTTTAGAGAAGCTTCATGCAATTTTTTCACAGTCCTTTGATAACTTGAAGGCTGGTAATAAATCTTTTGCAAATCAATAGATATATCTAAATTTCTAGCTTTACTCGAATCTATTTGTATAATAGGAATCAGCATGGATTCAGCTTACATAGAAATTCTAGATACTAATAAAGAGTTGCGAAAAGAATTGGATGATGAAATAACTGAAAACAAATTTAAGGATAAAAAATTCAAAGCATTTAGCAGAGAGCTAGAAACCTGCTATAGGGTATTATCTCATCAGGATTCAATAATACTAGCCCACAAAGATGAAATAGAATCTCTTAAGTCTGAAATAAAATCTCTTAAACAGTATCTTTACAAAGTATTGCAGGATTTAAAGCATAAAGATGATGTCAGTACTGCACAAGATATCCATATTAAGGCTAAAAGACATAGTTGAACAGCTTAAGAAGCGAATTATGAAGATTACAAATAAAAAATTATCCTAAATAAATAGTTCACCAATGGTATTATCAGAGCTTTTAAGAGATATTGCTACAGCTATAGACTGTGTTAAATTATATGTTGATAGAAATAGATCATTTGATCCTAAAAATATCTTGAATAGTATACGAATAACATTAATAACTATTCGTATTCATATGCAAAGGGTATCAAATGAGGCCTTACATTATCAAGGTTTGCTTAATATGCCTAATTGGCAGGTCAATAACCTTATGAATGATATGGCAAATATAAGAAATGAATGTCTTCGAAAATCTCAATTATTAACTTTTGCATATAATAATGAAGCAGATAAGTGTCGTGTATGGTGGCTTAGAACTCAGAGAGCAGAAAGGTATAACCATATATTATTGCAAGAAAAGGTAGGCCTTCGACTAATAAATTGAAGACATAAAGCTGAGGCTGACTTAGCAGAATTCAATAGAGCCTGGGTATTTAACCAATATCAAAAATGGAAAGCTCGAGAAATAAATTAGAGACAAATTATTTTGAATTTACAAATAAATTCTCCAGGAAATATGGCTATCCTACCAGATGTTTTAAATTCAATGGCCTCACTTTTAGCTCAAATACCGCAATATGTTAGTCAAGAGCTACCAGATGATTATTATAATAAGGTTATGCAGGTGATTAATTATGGTCATTCATTAGGAGTAGCAGTCTTTAATGATGGTGTGAAAACTAATGTATTAGCAGGAAAGATGGCAGGAAGGTTTACTCCTTCTAATCCATTTAATAATAATGCTGAAATTGCGGTTGCTACTCCAGCATTATTTATAGCATAGCTTCGAGAAACATATTGTGTAGTAAAACTAAGTTTAGCACAAGCTTCTATGAAAGCGCTTATAACTGATAAATTCCTTTCTATCGATACTCCAGAAACATATGAAAAACAAATTAAACTACATATAGATGCTTTACTATTTGCAGATACTCTACCTATTCTTTATAGTCATTTACCTGAAAATTTGAAATTATGGATTAAAATTGGAAATCCAGTAGATCTAAATGCCTTTTTTTACCCAACTTAATGATAAATGGTTAGAAGCTGGTAGACGTGTTGGTATTTGCTCCTTCAGTGAAGAAACTCTATCTCATTTATCTATACAAAAAAATTCGTAAGCTAAACATGAATTTATAGTTCATCTTGCAAATGATTTGGATTATTTAGGTATAGCAATGAATATCTCAACCTTAGGACCACATATTTATGATGAACTTGGTAAAAGGTTAAGGCGAAAAGTATCTAATGTTAGAAGGAGTCCCTTTTCTGAACTAGAGGTTAGAAACACAAATACTACAAAGAAAGCTATTAGAAAGGTAATACAAAAGTACCAGTTAAACGAATTATTCGTCTTTGCTCAGTTTGTAGAAAGGCTGGTCATATAAAGATTAATTGTCCTGGAGTTAAGCAGACTAAAAAGGTTAATTATGTATACCAAAATGTTGAGAAAGATCCAGTCC